CCCTCTCCCTCTCCCTCTCCCTCTCCCTCTCTCCTAGGATTTTATTTTCTTGACATAATGCATAACCATGCCGAAAACTTAGTAACTATGGTAGGCACATTGAAAATTTTTGTATTAAAATTACTCTGACATTCTAATCTCTTTAAAATTGTGTAGTACAGTTAACTCAAAATATCTATCTATGGCTTGTCAAAATAGATTACACAGAGTTTTAAATGTTAAGGACATTGGAAGTGATAGCCTAGCCTATGTTAAATTTATGTATTTCTTGACTGCGTCACATGTTCTTTAATTAAGTTCATTGGCATAAAATCATATTCATCGGATTTTGTACCCATACGTGATATATATTGGGTCCTCTTTTTTCCCAATCCCTTCTCTTCCCTACAACCCTCTTCTCCTCTCTATTTACAAAGTTTTGTTTCCATTTTTTCACAGATTTAAGGATTTAATAGAAAACATAAAGATAGACTTAATATCTTGTCTGCAAACATGTTTTTGCTTTACAAATGAAAGACCCTACAGATACAGGAGAATTTATTTGTATTATATGATATTACAACTTAGATTAGTATCTCAATAATTCAAGAAGATTTTCTTTTACATCAGGGTCTGACAAGAAACACAAGTGCTACTGAAGCATTCAAAGTACAGAACGGCATTTCTGATTGCTTATCTTCAGTCAGTTGTGTTAATATTTTCACAACTGGCAGAAAAGTAGGGCTGGGTCCAGCTATTAGGCCTCAGCACAGACCAAAGGCACTAGGCAGGAACAAGGGTCCCTTTTTTAAAGCTTAATTATTTGTCCCTTTTCCTATCCTTCCTTTTCCTGTTCCCCCTCCCTAGTTCCTCTTCCCTTTCGAACAGTTTCTTCTGGTTTCACAACATCTGTTCACTTTGGACCTTATTTCCTCTTTTAGTTTCCATGCCAGGGAGATAAAGCAGTGTATACACACTGGGGTCCGACTCGTTTCATCTAAGAGTATGGTCTCCAGGTGCATCCATTTACCTAAAATGCCTTGAACTTATCTTCTTTATGGCAGAGTAGTATTCAGTTGCATTAAAAACCCATTGTGTTTAGCCTTTCCTCAGCTGATGGGCATTTGGGTGGTTTCCAAGACTTAGTTATTATAAACTGTGCTGTTATTAACATGGATTCAGATGTATCGCTGTGCTATAATGTTCTTAATTCTGGGAAAATACCCAGAGGAGAGTAGCTGGGTCAAATGAGTCCTCTAGTCCTAGCTCTGAAGAATCTCCACACTGATTTCCACAGTGGTTGCACCAGTGTACACACCCACTACGCGTGGAGAAGGGCTCCCTAGCCCCTCCAGCATTTGTTATTGGTTGATTTCTTAAAAACAGCCATTCCTTCTGGGTGAGATGGAATCTTAGCATCGTTTTAATTTGCATCTCTGCAATAACCAGTGATGTTACCTTTTTCATATATTTATTTATTTTATAAATATTTTTATTGAGAAACAAATAGCAATGAGATAGTTTCAAAATAGGTTAGGACAGTTACAATAATTAACATTGCATATTGTTGTCTTCATAGTAGTTGTTCTGTATTTATTTTCCCTTTGCATTTCTTCCTCTAGAAAGTGTGTATTTATCTCAGATACCCATTTTTGGATTGGATCTTTAAACATGGGGGTCTTTTTTTTTTTTAATTCTTTTTATGTCCTTGATCTAACGGATAACTGGCTAACGATTTTTCCCACTCTATGGGATGTCTTTTTATTCTGTTGATGATTTCTTTTGCTGTGCAAAAAGAATTTCTTAAAGTAAATCTAGGGAAAAAATTAGATATATATTTGTCTGATATGTAGGAGAAAGGAATATCTGCCTTTGTTAAAAAGTTTTACATGATGGTACTTCTAAATTTTCAATATAAAATGAAGTTCTTCTAGCTTCAAACAAATCTTCATGACCCTGTTTCTCAGTTCATTTGGAAATTGCTATTCATACTGATATCTTTACTATACTTAAAATATTTTTATTATTCTTATTGTTCATGGAATATTCTGAAAATTTCTATTTTTTGATATGCAAAATTTCCTTCCTCATATTTTCCCTAGGTAACTTCTGCTCAGTTGAATCATTCATTTCTATTCCATATAACTTTAAAAAAATAGAAACCTATTTTTCTCATATGATGGGCAAAAAATGTTGGAAGGTCTTTATAAATGTCAGCATATATAATCCCCAAATAAACACCATGAGGTGACTATGAAAAGTACAGATTTTAGTCTCAATGTCTTGCTCCTATTCTTAAGCTCTGCTTATTCTTCTTCATGAAAGATAGAATTTACTATATTTCTAAATATTTTCACAATATTTAACATAAATTCTACATTCAACAGAAAAATATTTTTACTTTAACATAAATTTTACTTTTTTAAAAATATTTGGTACAGGGTCGCACTCCACAGTTGAGATTCACAGTGACCCCCTGTTTTCAGCCTCTCCAGTGTCACAATTCCTGGCATGTAGCACCACACACGGATTCCGTGGCCGCCCAGCGTGCCCGGGGGCAGAGCCGGCATGGCACGTGCTTAAATTTCCCTTTGTACTACCCTTTGCACTGCTTCCACCAGAGTCTGCTTTGGGGCTTACAATTAAATAAACAGTGAACAAATATCAAGCAAAGCAACATCGTGTGGCGTTAGACAAATGGCCTAGAGCTGGGCGAGGCGGCGCACCCCTGCTGGGATTACAGGAGGATTGTTGTGAGTTCCAGACTAGCCTGGGCTACAAAGTGAGCCGGTCAGCCTGAGCTGCACAGTGAGACCCTGTTTAAAAATAAATACATACATATATACATATACATACAACTGTCTGCTTTTTCTCAAGAAAAAAGATACTTTAACTCAAAAACTTACTTTTCCATTCTCAAAATACCTTTGCCATTGGTAGCTTGACATCACTCGTGTAAATCCATAAGGATGAGCCAGCATGAATCCCACAGCCATTTTATACAGCCTGGAAGGTACAAAATGGTATTGTAATAGGAGAATAACTTTACCCTTCATTAAAAAATACGTAAAATATGCGGAAAGCGGTGCTTCCTACCGAGCATCCCAGAAGGTGAGGATCGACGCCCCTCCAGCTCCGTGACCTCGCTGGTTGTCGTGGTTGTCCACGAAGACAAGGGCTCTGTCTGAAGGCATGAAGCCCCAGCCCTCTCCCCAGTTCCTGTATTAAAAGAATGCATAGATATATATGCGTATACCCCTATGGATTCTTTCCCAAGAGATGCAGAGTCGCCTAATCAGCATACCTTTCTATGTAACACTCGCCGATGAATTCTTTAGTTATTATTCATAAGATTTTGTAAGATGTAGAGTTGTATGTGGTTATATGTATATATTGTTATGTCTATGTGTATACATGTAATCTACAAGTTAATTACATGTTTGTAGATATGTATGAGTGATTATATTCTATTCATGTTCCAGTTGTAATATTCTTCCCATCAGAAAAGTTGCTTTTAGAATTTACAGGTTTCGGTATATAGCAAGCGTGTTCAGAAGTCAACATTCATATCATGACATATACGGTACACTGGATTAAAATAGGGCTTTACTACGGTACTTTTGTGCCATAAGTATTTTAATATTTCAAATTAATTAATGGTAAATTCCAGAGAAAGGCCACATTGTAGGTATTTTATTAATGGTAGGGTCGTTTTTTAGTAATAAACTGGATTTAACAGAAAATAGGGAAATGATTGAGAATCAAATCCTGAAGGCTCATACCCTGCACAAGTTAAAGTCTCTCGGTGATGTTTTGGGTTTCTTTACTATTTCCTTATGATTGGAAAAATCTAAATAAAATGTGGTTCTCTGGGGTCTGGTGAACTAGTATTCATTTATTTTTATTGCACCTTTCCAGTTTCATTTCTTCTTTCAGGTTTTTACACTAGAATGACAGTACGATGTTTACACATGTGAATACAACCCATTTCGCTATGTGTATGGTCTCTAGCTGCGTCCATTTATCTATAAAAGCCTCAAGTTTATCACTTTTATAGACTGGTGATATTCCATTGTATGCAAATGCCACATCTTTTTTATCCATTCCTCAGTTGATGGGCATTTGGGTTGCTTCTAAGGTTTAGCTATGACAAATTGAGCAGCTCAAAACATGGACTCACAAAGGGCTGGCCAGATAACTCAGCAGATTGAAGTGCCTGGGTAGGCAGACACGAGGCCAGGCAGTTGATCCCAGCCTGCCGTGCCGGCCCCGCCCCCAGGGCGCGATGAGATGGCGAAAGAGACTGGGCATAATGGTGTGCGCCCGTAATCCCAGCGCTTGGGAGGATGAACTAATATTTAATAATTAGCTTCTTGATAGTTATTTTTTGCAAAAGGATCTAACAGGATTAATCATACTGGGTTACATGATTATTGAATCTGTAGGAAAATGCAAAAAAAAGTGGTCCTTCACTTACTTTAAGTAGGCCATCTTCTCTCCGTTCCACCTGCGCATCACGGTGCCCAGCTTAGCGCCGTACTTGAACTCGGTCACACGGCCATTTCCAAAGTACTCGCTGCTTTTAATTGCTTCCCCACCCAGATCAATCACCTGGTAGAAACACAGGGGAAAATCCATTTTAGATAATAGCTTCTTGATGTATGAATTAGTATCTTATCAAACATAGCTCTAAAGGAGTTATGCTATTTGAAAAACTCCACATGATTTTCCTCATATCAGGATTTTTTGTTGTTACTTTTGATAAAGTATAGGCTGTAATACTGAAAGAAAATTAATGGCAAGGTATCTTTTGTCCTGTGAGAAAGCTGGCCTTACAAATACAATGATAACAATTCATGTTAACACGCATTTACTATCTGATTGATGTTTCCAGTGCCTCATAATTATCCAGGCATTCACTCAAGGAACAAGGCAACAGCACCGTCAGCAGCCACTTCCTTGCGTGAGGAGCTGTCACACAGCAGGGCTAACCAGCTTCCTCAGAAATTCACACAAGTGGGCCGGGGACATGGCTCAGAGGAATAAGTGCTTCCCTGGCAAGTGCAAGGGTCTGAGTTCAATCCCCAGTTCCACCAAAAGAAAAAAGGAATTCACACAAGTAACAGCGATAGATGTGAACAGCTAAGAGTGGTAGATCCCAGGTCCACGCTCAGGTCTGAGACAGCAAAAACCACAATGTTCAGGCTTCCACGTCACCTCTGGAAGGGTAGTGAAGGTCACAGCAAAGCATGCAGCCCATAACTCCCCAAAATAATAAACTCCCCAAACTTCCACAGATAAAGTGATAAAAAAATGATAAAGAAATTGCTGTGCTATCATTGTTATCTTTGATTAAAAGGAATTAAAAACACTGATCTGTATCACTCACCATTAAATTACCAAGATGGCACATTTAAATAACTAAAAATGTTTATTTTCTGATGAACCGAATGCTCCCTCAGGGTGTGCACAGATAGACTGCTGTACCTCCTGGAAGATGAAAGGCCGGCTTCCCGCCGAGAACCAGCTGGTGTTCAGATCGTGCAGCTTGTCCAGAATCGCCTTGATGTCCCCGGGCCACATGTGCTTCGAAGCGTCCAGCCTGAACCCCGCCACCCCCATGTCGATGAGGCTGTTCATGTAGTCAGCAATCTTGGTGCGCACGTAGTCCTTCCCCAGGGCGAGATCCAGAAGGCCGGAGAGGCGGCAGTCCCTGACCTGGTGGGTAAACGTTTGGGGCCTGAGCCACGGCTTCCTCTCCGAGGACCCGTGTGTTGTGTGGCCATTGCTTAGGCCTCAGGAGGCATGTACTTGGCGCCTTCCTGCCAGCGGACGCCAGGCACGTGGAAATGTGAACACTTGCGGCGGACGCACTTTTGAAATATCTTTAGTGCACACATAGATAAGGGAGGGACAGCGAGACAGCTCAGCGGCCTAAAGCGCCTGCACAGGCGCTGCCAGCGCTACCCCAGGGCAGGGCTGAGCGGCCAAAAAAAAAAAGACAATGGATACTAGGAAATAAAGGTCATTTGATTGAGTGGGAGAAATTTTTCTTCTTTACTCTCACTTATTTTTGAGTGCTAGGAAGCTAGAAATAACCCCCCCCATGCACACACACACACACACACACACACACACACACTTTCCCTTGTGATTTTAGTGCTCCATCACTTACGTGTATCTCCACCACGGGATTAGGAAAAAGCCCTTGAATATTTAGTTTTAAGCAGCTAGTGCTGCTAACTGCTTTCCTGAGGAGTCTAACACCTAACATGGCACTTAATAATGTGCATGGAAGTAGCCAAAGACATGGAGAGTTTAGAGTTGAGATTTTTATCATTTTAAAGTCACCTGCTCAGCATCACTGTAGCTCTCGATGCCTCCGCTTCCGGTCTTACATTTGCCGTCGTTGAAGTCCCAGCCAGAGTAGGGGACCGCCGGGAACTCCCTGTTTGGCGCGTTGTAGTAGCTGCCGCACGTGCTGCTGGTCCCGGCCCCGTTGCCTACGCCGCACATGTGGTTAATCACAGCGTCCACGTAAATTCGCACCTAAGACGCAAGGGGTCTGTTTCAGTTTAACTTCAGGTAGAAATCTAAAGTATGACTGCGTATTAATAAAACTTCAAAGTATTTATTTGCGATTTCATAACTTTATTTTCCTGCAAAACCAAGTCAATGGTGGGAAAAAAAAAAAAAAAATAACCACGTGAAGCAAACACCTGCATTCTTTCTGGTTGCTGGCTCAAGTGTCTGTATACTTGGTGAGTTGGGAGAACCAGAAAGCACTGTGACTATAACGGGATGGAAGGGCCGGCCAGATAGATCAGCACACTAAAAAGTCTGCTTAGGCAGATGAAGGGCCGGGGTTCGATCCCCGGCCAGCCATGCTGGTCCCGACCCCAGGGCACGCTGAGGTAGGTGACTGAGACTGGGCGTGGTGGTGTGTGCCTGTAATCCCAGTGCTTGGGAGGATGAAAACAGGAGGATCACTATGAATCAGACCCTGTAGACCCTGTAGATCCTGTAGACCCTCTAGATCCTGTAGACCCTGTCCTAAAAAAAAAAACAAACCAAAAAACCCACACGGGTCAATTTTATTGAAATGTCAGTGAGTCACCATGAAAAAGCAGCAATGTTGACTCTATTTGGAAAGAGTAAAATTTATTTATTAGCAGAACCATTGGAAAAATAAAACAAGGAACCGTATGTGGATGCATAAATCACAAAAATGTCAGTAACTTTGTCACTATAACTTTCAATTCCTAACCAGAAAAGCGTTGATAAGAGATATGTATACTAGTTCTAACCACAGAAAATTCTTGTTTTATAAACTCTTCTTAAACATTGTCTCATCTTTAGTAGAAAAAATGGTATCTGTACAGGCATTTACAGCTGTTGAAGAGAAAATAATTATTGGTTTTAAGCTAAGCTAAAGTAGGAAATAAATTTTAAAGTAAAATGTGAATAACTTTCCCTTCAAAACAGTACAAGGGAGAGAAGAAATCTTCCTACATAACAGTTCAAGGGACATTTGCATTCCCTTACCCCAACATTGTTGCACCTAGTCACCATGTTCCTGAACTCATCTTCATTTCCAGATCTTGAGCAGATTTTGTAGCTAATCGGCTGATATCTCTCCCACCAGGGTCTGAAAGGGTTGGTGACGACAATGTTTTCATTGGGTGGAGAAACCTGCAAGTAAAGCAACCATAACAAGTTTCCAAAGATGTTTTATGTTATGGCCCTAGATTCTTTAGAAAACTAATGAACTTTCTAAATTATTTCTTAGTTTTGAATATACAACTACATTTTGTTTTATCACTTGAAACTACTAAGAGCTTATTAGAGATGTTCTGCTCATAGCCTGAGACAAAAAAAAAAGTTGTCAACAATTCTTAATTTTTTTCCTCAGAAAATTGCTTTTAGAAAATTGTAAGAGAATCAAATGCTCTATATTACTGAAACTAAAAATGCCATTTTCTATAAGCACAGTAAATGATGACATTTATGCTACAATTAACACCCACCTGCACGCCCCCGAAGCCCCTCGGAGCTAAGTAGCGCTCGCACTCCAGGGCGATGTCCGCCCAGCGCCACTCGAACAGGTGCACGATGGAGGTGCGGCCATACTGTGTGTGTGGGTCGTACTGAGCCCAGCACAGCCCGATGGCCGACAGCAGCAGCAGGAGCCTCATGGTGCTGTGAAGGGGTCAGGGCTCTTTCTAGAAATTGTTTATATTCCTGAAAAAAAAACACATTTTACAATGTAAAATGTAATATCAGTATAAATTTAGACTATCAAGTGTTTATCATCCATAATACTCACTCAGCAGGTGAATACAATTCACCCAGGAAAGGAATTTAAATGGTCTTTTAAAACTTTGTGATTTTTCTTCTTGAAAAAAAAATTCATCTTTTCAAATACGTGACATTACTTGTATATTAAAACTCTTTATATGTGAATTGCTTAATTAGCATTTGATCTTATTTCTGAGTCCTTATAATACAAAGAAAATTACAGTTGGTGCCAGCTGAATTCATATTCAAAACACTGTTTTAAATATCTATCTGCAAATATTTGGATAGTTCCATTTAGAAAGGAAGATAGAATACTCAATTCAGTTATTTTTTTTCCTCTTATTAAATTTATGCAGTAAAATCTTTATCCATCACTGGACACATATTGAGTGAAGTAGCTTCTCTTCCATAAGGACTGAGGATGATGGTGTTCAGTGTATAGCCACGACATTAGTTTCCTGTTCCAAGAGCAGGAAACTTCTAGTACAAAGAACAGAGAGTGTGCAAGGGACCAGAGCAATAGCAACAGAAATGACGCAGGACACGGAGCCTGCGGCCCAACGAGAGCAGAAGTGGACGCGGGCCAAGCAGTGTCAGCGCTCAGGCAAGGCTTCATGTGGGGTGACCGGGCACCTCAAGGGGAAACGGCAGAGCTGACCCACAAATCGGGCTGGCCTGCTAGCAAAGCAGGCCAAGGCTCTCCCTGGGTCTCTAGGCCTGGACAAAATCAGTACTTTCCACTGATTATGGGTGTGATGTTTCCACAAGGAATTACTTCCTTGGAAAAGCTGTAACCAGTGGTCACGCATTGCGCCGACCGACCTTGGAGTGCACCGTGTCCTGCGGCTCCTCTGGTCTGTATCGCTCTTGAGCAGGGCGGGAAGACATGCACGCGTCCTCTAACGTGGTCACAGGACCTGCGCCAGAGCCCTAGGAAGGTAGCTGAGCTTGGTCTACGTGGTGGCCCCTGTCTCCTATTTCCCTCTGAAAGATTTTATCGTTTATATTCTTAAGAAAAAATAGGCAAAGGTACTCGTTTGGGTTTTTTCTTTTCGTTTTTTGTGCTTGGCACAGGGTCTCACTAAGCAGCTCCGACTCGTAGTGATCCTCCTGTCTCAGCCTCCCCAGCACTGGGATTGCAGGTGTGCACCACCACACCGGAATCAGTTGCCAGCTCACTGTGCCACGGGTTGGGGCCAGGGTGGCATGTGGACCCAAGGGCAAACCCTAGTCCCTGAGCTTGCCAAAGCGAGCGCTTAGTGCTTTATGCTAAGAGATACCTTCTCATACCCGCTTTCCGCTCATACAGGGACACGGAGCCAGCCAGCCGTGCAGGTGTAAGAGGGCCTCCTCGTTTCGTTTGAGAGCACAGCACTGGGAGCACTGACCACCGGATGGGCTGGCATGCCCACAGGGATGCCAGTTTGACTTGGAATCACTGAAGTTTGGAAGGCATAAAGTTTACAAGGCTATCAAACAAGTCAGGGGCCAAGAATTAGATGGAGAATACTAGTTAATAAAGGCCCCAAGGTGTTAGAGTCCAGGCAAGATTAGGTAGCATTTAGCATAAACTTGCCACAAATCACCTCTGCTTACCAGAATCTATATCTCTAAAGCCATAAGTTTCTTATACCAATTTTTATTTATTGGTTTCATTTTGCATTAACATTTTTTAAATTTGCAATTTGAAACAATTTTTACAAAATTCCAGATTTTATACAAATTACTCCTCTTTCTTGATAAGACTAGATATCCTTAACTTAATTTTAATAATTTTTATTTGTAGAACTGTCTATATTAATTAGAATTACTTACCAGTCACTTTACATTGTAAAATTTTAAACATTTATTCCAGTTATATCTATTTAACTCTTTTAATACTTGTTTTTATATTACCCACAAAAGCCAAAGCTATCAGGCAATTACAGTTAACACTTTAATCTACCTCCTTGCTAAATAATGTTCTGATAGTTGTTATACTTGAAACACAGAAAGTGGGGGCCGGCGAGATAGCTCAGTGGGCTACAGGGCCTGTTTAGGCAAGCTTAGGCAAGCTCAGGACGGCGGTTCGATCCCTGGCACCACATGCCGTGCCACTCTCTGAGCCAGCCACAGAGTCCGGGAGTAGTGGCATATGTCTGTAATCCTAGTGCTGGGGAGACTGAAAAACAATACAAAACAAAGAAAGAAGGAAATCAAGCAAGCAAGCAAGCAAGCAATGGGCCTTGGCCATACATGGTTCTGTTTGTTTGGGTTCTTTCTAATGACAGTCAGTATTGAACCCACGGACTTCTTACAGAGCTACATCCCCAGCTATTTTTTATTTTTTGATTCATGGTCTTGCAAAGTTTACTAAGTCATCCAAGCTAGACTTGAATATGCAGTGTTCTTCCTGCCTCAGCTTCCCAGAGTGTTAGGGTTTCAGGTGTGAGTCTCCAAGCCTGACTTGCTACTTACATTTTTAATAAAGATATCTATTATGGTAGGCTAGCAACTGAAACAAAACTATATGCTAGCAAGGTTAAAGGCAGCTTGACTTTATCTTAGAAATTAAGTTAACAGATTTGTGATTCACCCAAATATGAAAACCAAAGTAATCCAGAGCCTCACTTCAGCACTCGATCATCTGTAAACACATTTAAATAAAACTTTTTGGGGAATTTTGTTTTGAAAACACATGAAACAGGTATGTAAATGTAGCACACTACAACTTAAGACCAGATAGACTTCAAGATTTTCTTTTTGATGGTACTCAGGATTGAGCCCAGCTTCTCACACTGAGCTATCTGCCTGTCCCTTTCTTTTCTTTTCTTTTTTTCTTTCTTTCTTTTAATTTATTTGGTACTGGGAATTGAGCTTATGCTGCTGTGCTAGCTATCGCCCTGGCCCATTTATTTTTGTTTGGTTTGTTTTACATTTTAGAAAAGACAGTAGAGAAAGAACCCAGCTAGCATCCTCTTTGTGTTACTGTGTAACTGCAGTGTAAGAGCTGCTTTGGCGTTGCTGACATCTAAGTTAGACACGCCAGTCAACGGAGGATTAAAGCCACAGGGCTGAGCAAGAGCTTCCTTTCGATGAGAGCACCTCCTTCCCTCCCGGGACTACACTCTACCACCAGGGGCTGGCACAGAAAACACAAGTCTCAGAATGTGGGCCATTACCAGGGACAGTCACGTAGAGCAGCTTCTCGTCCACATGGGCAACAGCACCACTCGGAACACAGCAATGAGGGACTGTGGGACACAAACAAGGACGCCAGGTGGAGAGACCCAATGGAAGCTAGAGTGGGCACGGAGAACAGAGGAAGGACAGAGGAACAAACCCCAGTCGGTGAGGGAGCTTGGGCCCTTCCAGGTGGCAGAAGGTATGAGAACCTCCCACGAGGCCCACCAGTGAGGACCTCTAAAGGGTTAGCAGCCTCCGACCCAGGTTGATCCCAGACCCTGTCTTCAGAGGTGTGCCTGAACCCTGACTACTGTGGGTGTCACCATGAAGGTCCCTTTCACAAGGGCTTGCTGGTGCTCCAAGTGAAACAAGAAATGAACACTGGAGAGGAGAAAGGAGAGAAAGAAAAAAACTCCCTCGTTTTCTTTTGCAAAGCAAACCAGCGGCTCACATGTCACTAAGAGTCTAAACAAAGCCGCAGGTCCTGGGTGCCTTCAACCTGCCCCTGACTGCCGCCTGGGAACTCCCCACTGGCTGTGCTGAGTAGGAAGACTCGGTTATGTCCTGCCTGGGAAGGTGAAGGGCATAAGGCAGACAGACAGAGGAAATAGTAGAAGCAGGAAGAAAGGAGGAGGACAGGGAGCACGGTCAGCAGGTCAGGAGCAGCGAGGGCAACATGGATGGCAGGGCAGCGCTCTGCACAGGGAAGGCCTGGGCAGCTGTGGTCACCACCTGTGCACCTGGTCAAAGCCCCAAAGCCCACAGGTCTCACCTGAACTCGAGTCACACTGCCTGGCAGCGTTGCTGTGATGCTGGACTCGGATCTTCAGGCCTGGCGACAACCAAGCCAAAGAGTACAAGCCTGTAGGCAGAAATGTGGGGCAGCTCTGCTCTAAAATGCAGGCCTGCCTGTTGACGGTGAAAAAGGCTCAGTATTATTGACTTCCTGGGGTTGGGCAGGGCCCGGTAATATTCCACAGGTCTTGAGTGTAATATTTTCACAAGAAACTTCTTCCTTATGAAAGATATGGTTCAGTGTTCACTTAGTTTATTCTGGGAGATGCTGCAGTTCCCATATCCTGCCTCTCCCAGTGAACCTGCTCCTGGGGTCAACCAGCCCTTTACCCACATAACTGAAGAGTAGGAGGGTAGGCAGAGTGGCTGCTGTAGTTCTCAAAAGCCCACAGTTGAAATGCTTAAGCTTCAGATAGGCTAAAGCATGCATGATACTAGGAAGGCAAATGAGTTGAGGCCAAAGAGGCAGGTCAGGCCCTGCAGGGCCTGGCAGACTGGGCAGAGAGAGCCACTAATGCTGTAAGAAGGGGAACGAAAGCTGTGGCATGCTTTAAAAGAAAGTCATCCTTTCCCTGAAAAGACAGGACCCAGGAACTTAAGAGTAGGCAAAGTGAATCAGGTCAAGGACTCTTTTTAGTGATTTAGGAAAGAGGTGGCTGGCATGGCCTAGGGAAGAGGCAGACCTACTGGCTGTCATCAGGTCAGCTGATGGCACCTGCTGGAGGGGCAGTGTGGAGAAAGGACCCTTCTGCGCTGCTGATGGGACTGCAGACTGGGGGGACTGCAGACTGGGGCTGCTGCTGTGCAAGAGACAGAGGACATTCCTAAAAGAAAGCAAGGAACTGCCAGGGAGATGGCTCAGCAGCATAAATAAGCAGGTGGAAGGTCCTGAGTTCCTTCCCTGGTACAGAAAAAGAAAGCACAGAAGCAAGCAAGGAAGGAAGGAAGGAAGGAAGGAAGGAAGGAAGGAAGGAAGGAAGAAA